GTAGTTGGGGTGGGTGGGCAGCACAGGCGGCGTAGCATTAGCATGCACGCCACACGCCTCGGCCCCACCCCCTGGGCACAGCCCCTTGCTGCGCCTGGGTGCTTCCCTTCCTCACCAACCACTGCTGCTGGCCGCCACACACGCACGGGCGCGCCGTCCTGGCCCGCACCCCCACCACACTCCTTCCACCCCCTCCTACACAGACACACACACACGCTCCCTCCCTCCCTGCGGCCCCGCCGCACCTTGAGCTGCTCCATGAGCGGCGCCAGCGCTCCGTGGCCCAGCACCAGGTCGCGGCAGCGCGGCGAGTCGCCCGCGATGTTGCCCAGGGCCCACACCGCCTGCTCCCGCACGTCGTCAATGGGCGAGTGCAGCAGCTGGACAAAGATGGGCACCGCGCCCGCGTCGATCACCACCTTGGTGTGGTCGCTGGTGCCGGAGGCCACGTTTGTGAGGGCCCAGGCCGCCTCAAACTGCAGCTGCGGCAGGTCGCCGCGCTGCAGGAACTGCACAAAGCGCGGGATCACGTTCTGAGCAATCACCTCCTCGATGGGAGGGTTGCGCTCTGCGGTAGGGGTGCAGGGGACGTGGGGCGGCGCGAGGAGCGGGTCAGCAGGGGGCGTGAGAGCAGAGGGCCGGCCGCAGTGGGCTGCACAGTGCAGTTTCCAGCAGCTGCCGGCGGGCCGTTTTGAGCGCCGAGGTTGCGGCGCGCGGGGGCGTGGCTGCAGGCGCGCCCTGCCTGCTGCAGCACCCACCGATGGACAGCAGCTTGCGGAACTGCGTGGTGGCCTCCAGCTGTGCCTGGTTGTCCTCTGACCACACGCCTTGCACCATGGCGGGCAGGCTCTCCAGCTGCAAGCGGCGGCGGGTGGGCCGGCGGCGGGCCAGGCAAGTGACTCCAAGGTTGCGGCGGGAGGAAGCGGCGGGGCAGCAGCAGCGAGCGGCGCCGACTGCCCTGCCCCCGGGTGCAAGCGCGGAGCTGCGGCACGCGAGAGAGCTGCGGCCGGGCAAGCTGGCAGGCCCACCCGCCCCTCTGCCGCCGCCGCACCTTTTGCTGCACCGCCTGGCCGGCGCGGTTGGACTCCAGCTCGCCCCCCTCCGCCACCACGGCGCTGACCATGCGCTTCTTCTGCAGGCTTTCATCCCTACGGTCCTTGCGCAGCTGCACAATGTTGTCCTCACGCTTCCTGCGGGCGTCGTCGAGGTCGATCCCTGCAGACAGCAGCACGGCACGCAGGCCGGGTCTCCAGGCGGTGTGTGGCCCCGTGGGATGCCCCCTCAGGCAGCAGGGCAGGATGGGGAGCGCCGGCATGAGGCCCAGGCAGCCAGCCAGCCCTCCACAGCACTGATCGGGGGCCTGGCGGTGAGCCAGCCAATGCACCACTGACCCTTCTTCACCGGCCGCCTCGCAGCGCTGCCTTTGGAGCTCATCGCGAGGCCGCAAGGTGTGGGAGGCGGCGGGCACCCTGCCAGAAGATAAGTCTGGTGGTTCGGTGGGGACGGTTCGATCAAGTGCGAGCGCCAGGGGCGAGCGCCAGGGCGGGTCTGTTTGAGTGGGGGTTGCGAGGTACGTCCCGCTCCCGCCTGACGCACGCCGCCGCTGGCGGTTCAGGCCACTGGTGTGGCACAAGCTGTCCAATGAGGGGAGTGCTCATCTGTTACCTTGGGTCGCATCACCATGCGCCTACCTATTGCATGAATCAGCCTGGCTATGATGCCACCCACGGTCCACAGGTTGTATCCGTGACGGTGTGTGGTGCAGGCAGCAAACACGCAAACACAACCCCCTGGATTCCATTCCCACCGCCGCCGTTCTTTCCCAGGATCCAGTCCGGCATGCTGGCCTGGGCGATTGGCAGAGGTGCCAGGAGTGCTGGCCCGCGCTGCACGGTAGAACTGAGCATGCGCAGCAGCAGCAGTTACAGTCAGCTGAAGAGAGCCACGATAGGAATTGTAGTGCATGGGTGGTCTGCACGGCATGTGCATCACTCACGTCAGCATGGTCCTCTGCGCCCTCCTGCTGAGGGAGCTCAGCAACACCCGGCCTGTGCCGCTCCCGCCTGGCGCCCAGCGCCAGCCCATGTCCACAGGTGCAATGCCTTAGCTCCCATTTGTTTCATATTGATAGCTTCCTGCCATTGCACTCTGCGCAAACCGGAGTTGCAAGAGGCGCCCCTGCGAGAGGCACGCAACCCAAAAGCTGCCCCTTGCACTCCGGCATTGCCTGTTTATTCCTGATCGCTCCCAGCCAGTCCCAGCCTTCGCACAGCAGCTAGCCGCACCATCCCGTGTTCTCCCATCAGCGGGCACTGCCACCTGTGCTGTCGCAGTCTACAGGCCCTTCGGCGGGCCCAGCACAAGCAGCCATGCTGCCGCGCCTGGCCAGCGCCTCGCTGGGAGCGCTGCTGCGCCCCGGCGGCGGCGGCCTGGCGCGCACGCTGGCGTCGGCGGCAGCGGCGGCAGAGGGTGGCGCGGGCCTCCAGTTTTGCGTGGTCGGCAGCGGCCCAGCCGGCTTCTACACCGCCGACAAGGTTTGTCAGCACCCAGTGCTCTGAAGCAGGAGCTACGGGGCCCCGCGCAGCGCCTTGACGCTCCGCCCTGCTGCGGTCCTCCCCCAACGCCTGCGCCCCTGCCGCCACTCCACGCCTGCGCCGCAGCTGCTGAAGCGATTTGGGGAGGGCGCGCGCGTGGACATTGTGGTGGGTGCTCAATCGCTGGCCGGCGTGCCCTGCCGGCCGTCGCCGTCGCTCCCCCGTGCGCCAGGCCTTGCTGCCGCTGCCGCCCGCCAGCGGCCCTGCACGCCACCCTGCCCTTTGCTCGCTGCAGGAGGCGCTGCCGACGCCCTTTGGCCTGGTGCGCTCTGGGGTGGCGCCTGACCATGCAGACACCAAGGTAGGAGGGGCCTCTCCCCGGGCCCGCTGCTGCTCTGCTGCCGCTGCCCCATCCATCTCTTCCCCTGCTGCTGTTGCTCCTGCGTGTGCGGCGGCCCCCACCCACCACGCTACACCACCACCACCACTGCCGCCCGACCAGCCCAACCCTCTAGGTGCCCGCCTACTCACCCCCTCCCCTGCCTTACCACCCTGCCGCCTGCAGAATGTGATCAACCAGTTCACCGCTCTGGCGGGCGACCCGCGCCTCACCTTCCTCGGCAACGTGCGGGTGGGGCGGGACCTGAGCCTGGCGGAGCTGCGCCGCCACTACAGCGCCGTCGTGCTATGCTACGGGGCCGAGAGCGACCGGCGGCTGGGCGTGCCTGGGGAGGTGGGCGGCGCCGGAGAGCGCCTCACGGCCACGGCCGCCTCTGCTGCCGCGTGCTCCCAGCCGGCGCCTGTCCATCGCCCTTCCTCCCCCTCCCTGCCTCCACTTCATACGCTCCCCGCCCTCCCCTAGCCCCAGCACTCCCCCTCGCACCCTCGCCCCCCGCTCTCCCCTCTCCCCGCGCAGGACCTGCCCGGCGTCTTCTCGGCCCGCGAGTTTGTGTGGTGGTACAACGGGCACCCCGAGTACCGCGACCTTCCCGTGGACCTGTCCCGTACCAGCAGCGTGGCCATTGCCGGACTGGGAAATGTGGCAGGTGCGGAAAGAGGAGAGGAGGGGCTGGCGTGCGCCAGCTGGCGACGGCGCCCACTGTGCGCTCGCGCGCAGGCGAAGCCGCTGGCGCAGTGTGCTAAGGGAGGGCAGGCCCTGAGCACTGGGGCGCCCAGCGCGATTCGTTGGGCATGTCGCTGCCGCGTTGCGCAGGCGGGCTGCTGGGCTGCGCTGTGGTCTCGCCATGCTGTCTGTGGTCCCGCTGGCTGCGCTGAGGTCCCGCCGACGACCGCCCGCGCACCGCCGTGCAGTCGACTGTGCCCGCATCCTGCTAAAGCCGGCAGGTGACATGGCCGCCACCGACATTTGCAGCCACGCTGTGGATCAGCTGAGGTGGGGTGGGAGGCGGTGAGGGGCGGCAGAAGGGAAGCTGCCCTCAAGGCCCTGCCCCGCCGCCCGCCTGGTGGTGCCCGCTTGCCTCCCGCCCCTTGCTGCCGCCTGTACGCCGCCCCGCCGCCGCCGGGGCTGCTGCAGGCTGCTGCATTGGGCACCCGCCTCCGCGCCCGCCGCCCTGCCCACCCCCTGCTGCCGCCTGTACGCCGCCCCGCCCTCCCTGCAGGAGCAGCGCGGTGAAGGAGGTGCACCTGGTGGGGCGGCGCGGCCCGGTGCAGGCGGCCTTCACCCCAAAGGAGCTTCGGGAGCTTCTGGGCCTGCAGGGGGTGCAGGTGGGCGGGGTGGGGGGCTGGGGCGGGGGCCGGCTGCCAGGGCTGGGAGGGCGAGCCGGCCAGGGTGGGCGCCGGGTGGGTGCCTGTGGTGGCGCAGCACCAGTGCAGCGCCAGCTCCGGCCCACCGCGGCACCACCGAAACTTGTCCCACCTCCGCCAGGCGCCCCCTTGCACCCTGCTGCCCCACAGCAAGCCTTCCCCCTTCCTTGAGCCCTGAGCCGCTCCGCCTCCCCCCCCACACACCCCTCCCCTGTGCCCTGCCTGCCGCCAGGTTGTGATGGACCCTGCCGCGTTCCAGCTGACGCCCGCCTGCGAGGCGGAGATGGCGGCAGCGCGCATGAAGAAGCGGGTGTTTGAGATTCTGTCCAAGGCGCGGGCGCAGGAGCGGCAGGGGTGGGTGTGCCTGCAGCTGGGCGCCACTAGCCGGTGGGATGGGGGGTATGAGAGCGGGCTGGGGCTGGGGTTGCATCAGGTGCCACCCGCAGGCCTGGCGCCTCAGGTGCCACCCGTGAGCCCACCCCACCATTCACACCGGCCCAAGGGCGGCTGCCCCCGGCGAGCCGCGCGGCAGCAGGCGCCGCGCCGTCGACCCGTCGCCTGCCGCTTGCCTGCCCGCCCGCCTGCAGGGATAGGTCGCTTCACATCCACTTCCTGCGCAGCCCTGCCGAGGTGGTGGAGGCGGAGGGGCGAGCCGCCGGCGTCAGGCTGGAGAGGACGCGCCTGGAGGCGGCGGCGGCGCCCGGCAGCGACCAAAAGGCGCTCGGCACGGGTGCGCCCGGCCGCATCTGCCGCACGGCTGCCAGGGCGCCACCGCCGAGTCTGCCACGCTCACAGGCAGCCCCCCTCCCTGCAGCTGCCGCTCGCCGGGCCGCCCCGTGCGCCGCGTGCCGGCGCCCTCGAGCACGCTGTGCCTGCTGTGCTCCCTCCTTCGGGGAGAGAGAGACAGTAAGGAGGTACTGCTGTGCTGCCCGCGCTGCGCCCGCTGCGGTACAGGCGAGTACGAGACCATCCCCGCAGACATTGTGCTGAAAAGCATCGGCTTCAAGTCGGTGGGCATCCCAGGGGTGGCCTTTGACGGCCGCGCGGGCATCGTGCCAAACAAGCTGGGCCAGGTGGGCGGGGAGCGCTGCTGCCGGGAGGGCGCCGCCACGCCGCGCCGCGACAGGCCCACGGCGCAGCCGCGAATGCTGGGGAGGCAGTTGTCTGGCCTGCCTGGCTGCTGTGGCACAGGTGGCGGACACAGGGTCCAGCCGGGGGAGCCGCCGCTGGTTGCCGGCACGCATCAGCCGCAGCAAAGCTTGCGTGGAGCCGACCTGGGCTTGGCGCCCGCTCCCCACGCTGCTGCAGGTGTGTGGCGAGGATGGCGCCAGCGCGGACCCCGGGCTGTACGTGTGCGGCTGGCTGAAGCGGGGGCCGTCTGGTGAGCCAGCGGCCCAGCCTGCTGGCCAGGCAGGAGGGGCACTCGAGCGGCGCCAATCATCAGGCGGCCTGCATGCGAGATGCCGGCCCACAGCATGCCACGCATGCGCAGCCCAGACATGCCATGTGAATCACCGGGTCCCACCCGCCTGCAGGCATCATCGGCACCAACCTGGTGGATGCGGAGCAGACCGTGGATGTGATGGTGCAGACGCAGGGCAGCTTCCCGGCGGTGGCGGCGCAGCCGGCGGGCGCCGCGGGGCTGCGCCGCCTGCTGCAGCAACGCGGGGTGCAGGTGGGGCTGCGCGCCCTGGCGCCGTGCGCCCCGCTGCTGCCTGAACCCGGCCTGCCTCTGGGCTTGCCTGGCACCGCTTGCCGCTAGGTTTTGTCTGTGCTGCGGCGACCTGCGCCGGCTGCTGCTGCTGCTGCTGCTGGTCCTGCTGCAGGTGGTCAGCTTTGCAGACTGGCAGCGGGTGGATGCGGAGGAGGTGAGGCGAGGCCAGGCGCTGGGCAAGCCGCGAGACAAGCTCACGAGCGTGGAAGAGATGCTGCAGATTGCGCGGGCAGCGTGAGGCAAGCGTGCCTGGGTTTTGTCGCTAGCACAGGCAGCGCGGCCGCATTACAACCTTCCAATCTACCCCCTTCTGCACTGCACAGTCCTGCACTTCCCTCCTCCTGACAAATAATCACTTGCACCTCGGTGCCGATCCCGCCTGTAACCTGCTTGAAACCGTTGCCGGAGCTTAGCTGCCATCAGCTGGTAGCCGTCTTGCATGTTTCTTCTAAAACGGTGCGTGATGGGCTTTACAAGCTTCAGACATCATTGAGGATGCTCGTACAAGGGCGTATGAAGTAGGCAGGCATTCTCGCGGGAGGATCACACATGGACTGGCTGGGGGAGGCCCCTTGGCACAACAAAATCGGGGCACGGCACAGGCGCTCAGGGTTGGGTTGATGGCGGTCGCACGGGGGCGGACACAGAGGCCACAAACGACGAAAAAGCAGCTTTCAAGTTATGTAGGGGCGCGGCGGCACAGCCGGTACAGGGTAGGAAGCAGTAAGAATGGGTCAGGATGGGGGCAGGGGGGAGCCCTGCTGGCACACACGGTCAGGAAAGGAACGTACAGGGCCTGTAAGCGTGGGTCCGCACGACGGCGGACGTGAAATGGCAGAAACGGGACATGTGTTATATGGGAGGGGAGAGGGAGTTGTTGGGGCAAGGCGTCGCTTGCGACAGAATCCCGGAAGAGAGAACGGCCAGAATAAGTTCGATGGAAAAGGCTGGAAGGCAGGCGCAAGCTGAAGCACAGCTTGGTTGTTTTCTCAACAGTGAAGGGGGGTCTGCGCTCGTGGCGAGAACGGGACAGGGGCGGGGGAGGGGCAAAAGGGTGGTGCGGAGCTTGCCGTGCCTCGGGCAGAGCAGCAGGAGCTGCGCTTGCCACAGGGGACGCGCGCCAGGGGCACGAGCTGGGCAGGGGGCTGCGCTCAGCTGCGGGTGAGGAAGCGGCTCATGTAGAAGTCGCTCCACTGGCCCCGAGGCGAGTCGGCGGTGGGGGTGGTGGGGGCCGCGGCGCCGGCGCTCGCCTCAAACTCGGCGGCGCGGTGGTGGTAGGGCGTGTGCGGGGACATGGGGAGGGCGCAAGGGTCCGTGCTCACGGCCTTCACCTGAAGCATGGAGGGAGGAGCAGGGGGAGCAGGTTAGAGGAGGGGGAGGAAGGGGAGGGAGGTGTGGCTGCCCACGAGGAGCGCAGCCCCGGCGGGGGGGCCGCAGGGAGACTGCCGGTGGCCCCGACCGGCGCCAGGCACCAAGCAGCGTTGTTGGGTCCCCCCAGCATTTCGGGGCAGCCTTCTGCGGCCTGGGTGGCAGGAGGTGCCCCAATTCTGGCCAGGCACTCCCCAGCTGTGCCCACACTAGGCCCTCCCATCATCCCATCACGTGATGACACACCTTCATTGTGGAGATGGGGTTGCCAGAGGCGTAGTGCGCAGCAGCATCGCCCATCTGCGAGCACATGAGTGGGATGCGCGGGGTGTGAGCACCCCCGACAGCACATGAGCCCGCCAAGCAAGGCCCATGCACGTGTTTGCCGCCCACCCACCTGCATCGTGTTTGTGGTGGCTGTGGGGGTGTCGGGAAGGGCTGGTGGGCCGGTGTAGGCAATGAAGGGAGCCGGCAAACCCGAAATGGGCGAGAGCGGGGGTTTTGGCGACGAAAGCTGAGCACGTGCTTGCAGTCACGTTGTGTTTCCTGGCGTTTCTTCCTTGGATCTGCTTTTGGGGAGTCTGAGAACTGAATTGGGTAACGGTAGCCACTCTGGAGTGAGTTCATAGCAGGCCAGGCGGTGGCCCGCGGGGCCAGCTGGCGAAGCGGGGGCGACCAGGTGGCAGTTTGCCCCCCACTTGCAGCTTCCAGCTTGGGCCCCGAAGCTTCGCGCTGCCGTTTGCGCGCACTCTAGTGCCCGCGGCGCGCCCTCTGACTTCTGGATCGGCTCCCGCCTGGTGGGCGGCGGCGCTTCTCACGGCGGTAAACAGCTGTCCTTCCAACCTCGGCAGCATTTGTGAGGCTCTGTCAACAGGGCGCCAGCCGATTGCGGACGTGTCAGTCAACGCCACCAGCCTGCGGCCCCTGCCCCAGCGGCCGCTGCCGCGTCAGTCGCTCCACACGTCGCCGTCGCTGTCCTGTTGCCAGGGCTCGCGCTCTGCGCCCACCCGCTCGCGAGCGGGCGCCCACACCACAATGTTGCAGTCGTTGCTGCCGCTGTACAGCTCCTGGGAGGCGGCGTTCCACCTGCGGGGCAGCGGGGCAGGGGCGCCAGGCGCACACGTGCATCGAGGGCCCGCCACGCATGGCAGAGAACGAGCGTGATGCCCGAGAACACCAGTGGCCCGACCAGGTGGCATTGAACCTGGGAGCGCGCGTGGCACGGAGGATTGTGGCAGCGGACAACGGCAGCAAAGGCCCCAGGGCGCAACAGCTGCGAGGGGTCAGCCCAGGGCAGGGATCACACGCTGCCACCCGCCTGCAGCAGTTGACGGTGTCAAAGTGGGCGCCGCCCAGCGTGCGCAGCAGCCGCCCGCTGGCAATGTCAAACATCTGCGCGGCGGGGCGGGAGGGGCGGCGCCGGCAGGAGCGCGGTTGTGGTGCACGCGTGTTGAGAAGGGGCGGGGCCCTCAACCAGACACCCTGGCCCACAACACACAGCAGCACCCTGCAGCTGTAGCTGTGCGCACTTCAAGAGGGACTCATGTCCACCCCCTGCAGCCCCCCCCCCTACACAGCACCGCACCTGCACCGCGCTGCCCGAGGGGTGGAACAGCACGCTGCCGTCGTCGCTGACCGCCAGCTGGCGGGCTCGCTGGGCGCGGTTGTAGGCCCCGGGGTAGTGCACCAGCTCATGCCTGCAGGGCGCCGCACAGCCGGGCATTGCGTGAGCAGCGCATGCTGCGGATGTGATGCGGTTGGGCTCCTGACTCGGCGGCGCATCCCAGCGCGCTGCTCCTGCCGCCCCCCACCGGTATGTGGCGGCATCCCACAGCCGCACACGGTCGTCTGTGCCAGCGCTGAGCCAGCGCAGCCCGTCGGGCGTGGGCACGATGCCTGTAGCCAGCAGCGGCGGCATGCGCAGCGGGGCCTCAATGGCCGATGCCGATGCCGGAGCGGCGCCAGCGGGCAGGCTGCCCTGCGTGCGGCAGCTGTGAGTGTGAGCGAGGGCAGCCAGCACGCAGCAACTTGCGCCCGGCTGGCAGTCCCACAGCAGTGGCCACGCCGCACCTGTGATGGACCCGGCATGCGCCGTGCTGTACTTGGTCACCCGCTCGGGCAGAAACATGCGCTCGCTACCGCCGCCTGCTGCTTCTGCATCGCCGCCGCCGCCGCCACGCCCGCCGCCGCTGCCCTGCCGCTGCACGCCTGTCGCTGCCCCTTCTCGTCTCCCTCGCCCGGGCCGCTGCTGCCGCCGCCGCTGCTGCCCATCCTGCCGCTCCTCCGGCCGCTCCTGCTGCAGCTCATCCTGCCGCTGCTGCTGCTGCCGCTGCTGCCGCTGCTGCGCCCGCTGCTGCTGGGTGTCATGCTGGTCAAAGATGTGGAGCGGGCCCGACCGCCGGATGTCCCACAGCCGCAGCTGGCCGTCGCAGCCGCCTGCAACACACAGGCGGGCCAAGCCAAGCCAGGGCAGGCGGGGCGGCGTCGCCAGCGAGCGGCGCTGGCAAGCTGGGATGGCGCACCAGCTGGCTGGCCCGTGCATCCACACACCATCCACGCCCCACCCACCCACCACACACACACACACACACACATATGCACACACACATGCATGCACCCGCCCCCACCTGTCATCAGCTGCCACTCGCTGGAGGGCGACCAGGCCAGCGCCCAGACGGCGGCGCGGTGGCCCGCCAGCGCGTGGGTGAACCCCCCCGACACCACGTCGCACAGCTGCACCGCGCTGCCGCCGCCGCCCACTGCCACCAGGCAGTGCGCGGTGGCGGTGGCCGACATGGCGGCGGCGTACACGCGGGAGCCCAGCGAGAAGCTGCACACCACCTGCAGCGTGTTGGCGTCCCACACTTTGGCCTCGCAGTCATACCCGCCTGCGGGGGAGGCGGCGGGGGGGAGCTGAGGTGGCGGGCGGGGAGTGTGTGTGTGCAGCGTCAGGGCCCAGGCAGGAGGCAGAGGGCATGGGCTGGTGGGGGCGGGGGCAGGGCGGGGCGTCGCCACGCAAACGGAACGCCTGTCAGGCCACCAAGGCCGCTGGCGGGCCGCCACCGCGGGCCGCCAGCCTGGCGCCAGCTCAGCCTCACCCGACACAAACAGCCCCGAGTCCACGGGGTACCAGGCCACCGCCGACACGCTGAACCTGTGGCCCTGCGGGGCCTGCTTGGTGATGGAGAAGAGGGCGGCGTGGTCGGTGCGGCCACCGCCGCCCGCGCCGGGCGCCGCCGCTGCCTCCGCCTGCGCGCTCGGCCGCAGCGCGGGCGCGGCGGCGTCCAGGGCGGCGGCCGCGTTGCGCGCCGCCTGCCGCGCCTCGGCCTGCTGCTGCTGCACGTCTGCGGGGGAGGGCTGGTGAAGGTCGTAGACTGCGATGGAGGCGTCGGCGGCGCCCGCCAGCAGGTAGCGCTGCTCTCCGGGGTCCAGGTCGAGGCACGTCACGCCGCCGGCGTGCACGCTGCGGATGACCTTGTCGTGACAGAACTCCAGGGTCTGCAGCCTGCATGCATGGGCACCAGAAGGGCAGGGGCTCAAGTGCGAGAGGCTCGAGCGCCACGGCGGCGGCTGGAGGCGACGGCGGCCGCAGGCGCTGCTGCCTGATGGCCACCGGGCCTGCAAACCTGGCATGGTTGATGGTGCTGGCGACTCTGTGGTCCCCCGCTTGCCGCTGGAAGAGCAGCGGAGGGCGGGCCGACATCCGGCGAAGGATCAGGGGCTGGCAAATTCTCCCAACTTGCTGCAACAATATCGGAAGATCCAGGCCAACGAAGGAGGGTCCCGATTTGTACTTTTTAAAGTGTACTTGCGGAAGCCACGTCGGCAGCCCAGTTTTGTCAGAGCTCAATTGGCAACCACAGACCGCCACACTACTGTGTCCTGTCACGGGGACGTTTGGCCGGGCGATCGCCTGCCCATGTCTCAGGTTCCTCCCGACCTTTCCCAGCGGCCCAAGAACCTGCACCAGCGGTGAGCAGGCGGCATGGGCATCGCAGGGGTCTGGACCTCGCGCCTGCAGGAGGGAGGCCTGTGCGTGGCGCCCCAGCAGCCCACGACCGCCGCCGCCGCCGCCGCTGCCTGCCGCCGCTTCGCCTGTCTCCAGCATTACCGTTGCCGACGACGAGGAAGTGGACCCCCTGCTGGAGCAGACGGGCTGCGTGAAGCCCTACACCGCGCTGGAGGTGTGACCTTGTGACAGGGTTGGCGGGGGGAGTGCTGGTCGGGGGGCCTTTCTACAGCACCCAACCGTGGTTGTAATGGGCTGCTGCTTTTCAGGAGTGCCTGGGCGAGAACGACCGCGACTGGACCAAGTGCCAGGCAGAGGTGCAGGCTCTGAAGCAGTGCCACGCCAGGCAGCAGCAGCTCGCGGCGGCCGCGGCCAAGAGCAGCAGCTAGCTGGCTGCGCGGGGCGGCGCACAGCAGGGAGCGCCGGCAGGATGGCGGCAAGCGCGGGCCCCGCCCAGGCGAGCTGCAGCAGCCACCTGCTTGCATTCGCCCTTGCCTGCAGCAGGCTGCTTGCCACCCCCGTACTTGACTCGGTTGCTCCGTCAGCTACCCACCCACTCCCCCGTGCATTGCCGCGCCCTCGCAGGTGCTGCTGCTGTACCGCCGCATCCTCAAGGCCGCCAAGCTGTTCCCCTCCATCAAGCGCGACGCCATCATAGGCGACATCAAGCGCGAGTTCCGGGAGCACAAGGCGCGTGCTGCGCTCGCTGCCGCTGCCCTTTTTTGTGCCCTTTTTTGCGCTTGCTGCCGTGCTTGCCGACATGCAGTGCTTGCCTGCCTTGCCTGTGTGCAGGCGCTGGCGGACCCTGCCCGCGTGCGGCACGAGCTGGGGGTGGCGCTGAGGAGCCTGGAGCAGCTGGAGGGGTATGCGGGCCTGGGGCACTCGGGCAGCAGCGACCTGGCGGTGTCGCTCAAGGGCAGCTGCGACTGAGCTGGGTATGCGGCCTGAGCCGGAGGCATTATAATGGAGGCGCCATTCGAATCTCTTGAGATGCATCCATGCCACCACACCCATCCCTCCACTTCTCTCCCCTCTTGTTGCTTGCTCCCTCCGCCTGTACTCTGCTCAGTGCCCAAGTAACTGCGACAGGATCACTTGCGCGCATGCACAACAAGAAGGAGCATGCAGCCTCCAGCAGCACTCCAGAGTCTCAGCCCGGCAACCGGTCAAGGGACAGCAGCCATCGCAGCACCGATGTTGCTTGGGGCGGCACAACCGGCAACAGTACAGCATCAGCATCAGCAGCGGCAGGGCACAGCCGGCCAGCTGCAGCAGCAGGGGCATGATGTGGCCGCCGCCGGGCATGCCGCGGGGCATGCCGTGGCAGGGCCGGCGGCCGCCGCCGCCGGCCGCCGCCACAGCCGCCGCCATGGCAACAGCAGCAGGAGCACCAGGGCAGGCTCAGGAGGGCTCAAGCACGCTCATTCGGTTTGTTTCGCCAGACGCGCGATCGGGCTGCATAGATATGCCAGCCTGGTTGCGTATCTGGTGCTGTCCCGTGTTGCGACCGCGAGCTGTAGAGCCCTCCATTCGGTCTACCCTCGTCACTCTTATGCCCAATGACATCCACCACGTTCAATCCAGCCCCCGGCGGGGGTGGTAGCCTGGCAGCCCACAACCAGCAGCTCGCAGACCACCCAGCGCGCTTGCCCGCAGCCTCCAGCACATGCCCAGGGCAGCAAGACATCTGCGGACCCAGAACGGTGCGCAAAGCGGCCCGGGCGGCAGTGCGGGGGCCGACACACAGCCTGCTGGCCAGCGGCGGCTCCACCCCGCGTCTGAGCCTGCCTGCATCCGTTCTGCATTCGTTCTGCAGGGCATGGCCCCTTCTGAGGAGATCATAGCGCTGTTCAGGCACGCCGGCAATTCGGTCGAGGCCCTCGCCCCAATTTCCTACTCCACTCCCCTGCCAGTCAGGTGCGCAAGGTTCGGGCCCGGGAAATAGCTCGCCACGCGCTTCCGGCGGGCGGTGGTGGGGGCGCGCCCTGGCGCCCCCCCGCCGAGGGGGCCGCCGCCGCCGGCGTTGACCGCCCTGCCGCGTGCTACCCCCTGCCGCCCCACCCCGCACTCATCCCGCCCTCCGCCGTGCTGTCCCGCAGGCAGTGGCATCCTCCCATCCTCATGCCATCGACCATGAGGGAGCTGCAGCAGGGCGCCACGGCGCCGCCGGCACGGCCCGCGCGGCAGGCACGGCGCCACCGCCGCCAGGCGCACCCGCTGAACGCAGCGCTTGCAGCAGCGGCGGCCGCGAGGGCCGCCCAGAGGCAGCGGCAGGCGGCGGCGGCGGCGGGCGGGTGGCAGCAGCGCCCCATTGGCTCTGCCGCGCCCGCCGCATAGGCCGCCCGCACCGGCATGGCATGTACCCTCGTCCCGCGGCGGGCGTCGCGCGACGCGCCCCCGCCCCGCAGCACTGCCCCCCTCCTGCTCCCCTCTCCCAGCTTTGTTTGCTCCCTCCCTGCTCGCTCTGCCCGTACGCACTGCCCCCAGAGAGATGAAAGAAACGGCCCTTTGTATTTCCTCCCCCCTAAGTCGTAGCGTTGTGTTGACACCTGGTGGTGTCTCCATGTGTGTAGTCCTCTGTGCCCCTCGCGCCAGCCATTTTCCCTCCTGGTCCTCCTCACCCCCTGACGAGACTGTCGCCCCCTGACTCCACACAGTTGCCGCTGGCGCCCGCCTCAACCGGTTGAGCCGGGCCCACGCGCCGCCGCCCCCTGACCAGCACTCGCCACACTTGCCTCTGCGCATGCTCCAGCAACGACGCCCCGACTAGCAGCCCTTGTTTCCCCCTGCCCACCTCGCGTGTTTCCCCACCTCTCCCCTCTCCCTCCCGCTCCCCTGATGCTATTCCGTCCGCTCGGCCCCTTGCACGCCCCGATTGATAGCCGCGCCCAATGTCCAGGTGCGCCCACCCACCTCGCCTCCCCTTCCTGCCCCGCCCGACCAGCGAGCCCCTAGTACGGCTGGCGGCTCGCGGCCGCAGCACCCTCGCCACCGCAGCGCAGGGCGGCGCGCCTTGTCGCCTCCCTCGCCCCCTCCACCCAAACAACACAGCTAGCCCCCTCCACACCACGCACATTTATGTAGCTTTCAGAATTAGAAAAGCCCACCTTGGACGCGCTGTTGCAGCCGCACGCGCCTGGCCTCATGCATACAAGCTCCAGGCACCCACGCCACCCTTGTCCCCCCCTGCCCCTTGTCGTGCTGTCTCGCACACAGCGGCGGCAGCGCGCATTTCTGTGCACCTTGGCATCTCGAAGTCCCTCATTTTGTTGCCCCCGTTTTGTCGGCCCCTTTCATGGAATAGCTATGGACACGTGGCTTACGTACCGCACAGTTTAAACCAAAAATGGAATGCTGACGAGGGCACAATGGCGGGATGGGGGGCGGAGGGCAGGGGGTGGGCCGATCGATCCGTAGGGCAGCTAAAAGGGCACATCCGGAGGCCGGGACCCTCGGTTGAGGCCTTCATGTGGCTGGAGGCATGCAGGGGTGCAGCTGCCACGCGCCGTCCGGCGGCCCGCACCCCAGCCTGAGCAGCCGGCGGTGGAGGCGGCGCAGGTGGGCGCTGTCCTGGCCGATGCTGCGGCGGGGCGGCGCGGCAGCAGAGTGCGGGGCGCGGTGAGGCCGGTGAGGGCGTTGCGGCCTGCTGGGCAGGCGGCTGCTCGGGGCGGCACACGGCCTGCAGGCGCAGGCGCAGGCGCTGCCTCCACACCCCGCCCCGCCCCGCCTCCTACCTCACACAAGTAATCCCTTCAGCGTGCAGCTGCCCATACAGCCGCGCCGCCGCCTCCTCGCTGACGGCGGAGGTCAGCTCATCCAGTACCGCCAGCGCGGGGCGCCTGGGAGGCAAGGGCAGGGAGGCGTAGGGGGCTGGGGCCGGGCAGGTGGGCCGGCATGGGCAGCCCTGGGCAGGTGCAGAGCCGGCGTGGGGCTGGTGGCGGTGAGAGCGGGGCCAGCGCTATGAAGCGGCATGTGTGTGGGGGGGCAAGCATGCGCAGCTCAGGGCACCGCCATGACATCGCCCCGAGCCAGCCAGCCAGCCAGCCAGTCAGCCAGCCAGCTCACCTGTGCAGCACCCGCGCCACCGCGAGGCGCTGCAGCTCGCCGGGGGACAGCATGGCGGCCCAGTCAGCGGCCGCCTGGAAGCTGTCTCCCACCCGGTCCAGCAGGTACTGCAGCCCCACCCGCTGCAGCAGGACTAGCAGCTCCTCGTCCGCGGCCGCCTGCCCCTCACAGCCGCCGCCGCCGCCGCCGCCACCGCCGCCGCTGCGGTCACCACCGTCAGCAGGGTAGCAGATCTGCTGCCACAGCGCACCGCCCGGCGCCGCCAGCGGGCGCTGCGGCACAAACATCACGCCCTGGCCCCGCCCGGCGCCTCCCTGCGCCGCGCTGTCGTCGTCGTCGTCGCTGGAGGCGCCAGGCGAGGCGGTGCCGCCGCCGGGCGACACCGGCGGGGCACGGCCCGCCACCAGCACGCTGCCGCCTTCCAGCGGGTGAAGCCCGCACAGGGCCTTGACCAGCGTGCTCTTGCCGCAGCCGTTGGGGCCTGCACCACGCAGAAACAAACAAGTTTCGTCAGCGGCGGCCGCGGGAAGGGCGTGTGAGCTGCGTGCTGCGCTGAGTCGCTCCCAGGTAGGCGGAGCTCGGCTGGTGGGGCGAGGTGACGTGGCTGAGGGGCAGGTGGCGCAATGCACGCCGTGGCGGCGCCAGGCTGCGGCAGGCCTGGCGTGCCCACCTGCGATGAGCAGATGCTGGCCCGGCAGCAGCTCCAGGCTCAAGCCCGCCGCCGCCAGCGCGCCGGCTGGCGTCCGCACCGCAACCCCGTGCAGGCTGAGCAGCGGCGCGGCGACCGTGCTGCCGCCGTCTGCCGCGGCCCAGGCCTGGCCGCCGCCGGCATCAGCGGTGGGCCCTCCACCCGCTGCCGCCCAGGCGGCCAGCTGGGCAGGCTGGTCGCTGACGGCCGCCAGAGCACGCTCCAGCTCAGCCGGCGGCGCATCGGTGAACAGGGTGGCTGGGTAGGCGCTGCTGCCTGCGTGCAGCGGCACGTGGCTGGGCGGCGCCTGTTCAGCACAGCGCAGCAGGGGGTGGAGCGCGCTGGGAGCACCCCCACCTCCTCCACAACCCCCACCCCACACAGCCTCCCACCACAGCTGGCCGCCTGGGCAGCAGCAAGCGGCGCGCCCACCGCTCAACGCCGGCAGCAGCAGCAGCAGCAGCAGCAGCAGCAGCAGTACTAGCAGCAGTACTAGCAGCAGCAGCAGCAGCAGTACTAGCAGCAGTACTAGCAGCAGCAGCAGCGCAGCCAGCAAGGCCAAGGCGGGCAGCGCACCGTGGCGGGGGTGCAGCACCACCGGACATATGCCTGCATCGCGCCGCTCGTAACCCAGCAGCGCGTGTGCGGCTGCATGGCAGGCGGGCACAGAGCCAAGCGGGCGGGCAGGCATGGGAGCGAGGGAGCGCGACGGGTGGAGGCGTCGGCCAGGGCGGCGGTGGCAGCAGCCAGCCTTTTGGATGCCATGGATCACATCGGCCTCAGCAGGGGGGGGCAGAGCCGATTCACAGCAGGCGCAGCAGGCGCAGCGCGCGCAGCGCGCGCGCACCCGCCACCTCGCTCCACCGCGCGCCGCGCCTGCCGTGCAGCGCGGTGCCGCTGCGAGGGTCCACGGCGTCGCACCAGCGGCCCGCGGCAGCCAGCGCGGCGCTGCGGCGGAGGGGGGAGGCATGCGGGCACCCCGTGATCGCCTGCCTGCCACCTCCCTCCTCCTGTGCAGCCTGCCGCCTCCTCCCACACACAACGAAAAATAGAATGCCCGACCCGGCCCCGTGCACATGACCACAAGCCACCCCGCGCCGCCACACCAGCACACAGCGCCACACCAGCGAACAGGCACACCTGACCCCCGCCTCCCAGCGCAGGAAGGCGTCCAGCAGCCGGTCCATCTCCGCCGCCGCGCGCTCCAGCGTCGCGCTGCTGCTGTCGGGCGCCAGGCTGGCGCCGCCCGCCGCGTGCTGGAAGGTGATACAAGCCAGCAGCTGCAGGGGCAGGCAGGCAGGCAGGCAGGCAGGCAGGCAGGCGGGGTGGGGTGGCGGCGAGCTGCCGGGTGGGTGCGTCTCTGCCAGCTGTCGAGAGCTGCGCTGAGGGTGCAGCCCTCAGGCCCAACCACCGCACGCCACGGCACACAGCGGGCCGCCTGCCCTGCCCCCAGCGCAGCAATGTGCACAGTACACAGCGCGCCGCCCACAGCTGGCGTCCCGGCAGCGCACCTGGCCGGTGGCGGGAGCGTCGGGAAAGATGGCTCGGGCCTCTCGCTGCAGGTCGGGGCCCAGGCGGTGTGTGGATGCCTCCAGCACCACCGAGCCGCCCAGGCAGCTGCAGATGGGGCAGCAGGCCGGGAGACGGGTTGGGTGGCAGCGCGCCACACACCGCAGCGAGCAGGGCAGCGGGCGGCACGTCACCGGAGGCCAGGCAGGCACGTGTGCTGCCGGGACAGGCAGGCACGTGCCTGTAGAGTCGCGGCGGCTGCAGCAGGGTGGCAAAGCGGGAGGGCCGCAGCTCGTGGGCGCCGCCATCCATGGACAGGCGCACAGCGTGCACGTCGTGCACATCGTGCACGCCGCCGCCATCCAGCTCGCCGCTGCCGCCGCCGACGCCCTTGGCGCCGCCTGGCAGCGCCTCCAGCAGCTGCCCCACACGGGCCGTGAGGCCACCCAGCTTGGACAGCTGTGGGGCAGGCGCGCGTTCCAGACAGCCACTCAGCCAGGCATCGCCTGAAACGCCGGTCGTGCTCGGCGCCGCGGTGGGTCTCGTCCCCTCAGCCACCCACCCGCACTTTCTTGCCCTGCCCCCTCATCCCCGGCC